GGGGGGGAAGAAGACGTATTCAATAACATGGAATAATGAGGTTGGAAGGGACCTTGGAGGTCTTCTAGTCCAACCCCCTTTCCTCAAGCAGGAGACCCTATACCATTTCAGACAAGGGATTGTCTAATCTCTCTTTAAAAACCTTCAGTAATGAAGCACCCACAGGTTCTGGTGGGAAGCTCTTCCACTGGTTAATTGTCCTCACTGTCAGGAAATTCCTCCTTAGTTTCAGGTTGTTTCTCTCCTTGATTCGTTTATTTCCGCACGGTAATGAGCTGCATGGGTTAATTGCGAAAACACGACTTCTACCAGTTTTGAAGCATGAGGGTTGATCTCATTGAGTCCCTCCGTCCGTCCTCGCTTTGAACAACGGCTTCTCCCTCGGTTTTTCCACCCCATTCGCTGACTAATGTACCTCTTCTCGTAGCAAGAGGGCTTAACTTCCTCCTCGAAACGCCCTCCCACCCCCCACCCACCCCTCTTAAATCTTCCCTGGGGCGAAAGCCATTTCTGGCTTGCTGTTACGAGCCCCTTTTGCTGAACTCTCCTTGTATCTGCCGCCCCCGTTGTGCTTGGCTTCAGCTGGCCCCTCGCTTCGTCTGCAGCGCCGTAACTTTAAAAACATGCACCGAAGCTCTTTTTCAACACGGCTTTTGATTCAGCGAGAAAGCTTGTGACTCCTTCCTGCTCAGCAGTTAAAAACGATTCTGTCCATTCTGCGCTTCGGTCATCATTCTGCATTTCCAAAGTTATTTTTAAAAACACACACACACACACACCTGCCCTCCAAATAACACGGGTGTGAGCTATTCGCCCTGTGTTATTTTATGAATCGATTGGGGAGAGAGATGGGATGGAGTTGTCAGTGCTTTTTTAAAGATTTGATTGGTCCAGGTTGGAGAAGGGTACGTTGGCGAACGGGTGATCAGAATCAATCAGAGAATACAATCAGATAAGGTTAGGGTACAAGGGAAAAAGACAGCACTGCTTGTGTTAGAGCAGCAGAATAACAGAATTGGAAGGGACCTTGGAGGTCTTCCAGTCCAACCCCCTGCTTGAGCAGGAGGCCCTGTTAGGAAATTTCTTCTTAGTTTCTAGGCTAGGCTAGNTTATTATTATTATTATTATTATTATTATGATTCCTCCTCCTCCTCCTCCTCCTCCTCCTGATGCTGATAAATTACTGATTACTGTACCGTTTCTACAACGGTGAAGAAGTTGGGGCAAGAAACATCTGCAAGAAAACAAATATTCTACTTTGTTGTTGTTTATATTTGCTGTGTAAATACTTCCACAGTTCCGTGCCCTTTAGAAGAAACTATCCTGATTTCTGAGTTGTCGCTGATGTTTCTATGGGAATAAGCGAGGTTTTGCTGTGGCCAAAGTGCCCCCCGAATGCTTTTGAAACGAGCTTATTTTTTATTTTATTTTTTGCATCCTAGCTTGTGACCGTTGGGCGGTGCTTCCTCCACCTGATCTCCCCCACGACATCAACCGGTTCGGACACTCGGCTGTGCTGAGCAACAAGTAAGAGGCGGCGTAGTATCTTGCCTTGGGGGTGGAAAGTGGTAGTAGAATGGAGAAAAGGGAAACGAGGGCCGTGGCGTGATGCCCGAAGAACCTTTTAAAAAATTTTGGCATTAAGTTTATCAAATTGTAAAGTATGAAAACTACAGAAAATTAAGGCGAGTGGGAAAATAGGAAAGGAGAAGAGGAAAAAGTGTAAGGTGAAAGGGAAAAAAACGAAAAAAAAACAAACCATTGACTTCGAACTGTTTTTGAGTTGCAGCAAAATAAGGAAATAATATAGAAGCATATCTTTTTATGTTTGCGTAATAATCTATTCTAGCCCTTTCTATAACACCAAGCCTATTTAATCAGCAAAACCCAAAATCAGGGTTTTTCCCCCCCCAGCTCAAGCACAAAGCCCAGGAGTGGTTTCCAAGTAGAAACAAACTTAATTCTATTCTTTTCTTTAATCGAAGCAGTCAGTTTAGCCCTCTCTGCTTTTACAGCAGTCATCCATCGTGAGAATCAAAGTATCCTCCTATTTTTGTGCACAGAGTATGTTTGCCGTTGATGGGGCCTGAAAAAACCAACCATCTTGTTTAGGATACTTTTCCAAGACATTATAGTGCCTCTGCAAGGCTGGTTGCTAACAGAATAACAGAGTTGAAAGGGGACCTTGGAGGTCTTCTAGTCCAACCCCCTGCTCAGGCAGGAGACCCTATATCATTCCAGAAAAAAAATGTTGTTCAAGCTCTTCTTAAGAACTTCCAGTGTTGGAGCATTCCCAACTTCTGGTGGCAAGTTGTTCCACTGATTATTTGTTCTCACAGTCAGGAATTCTCTCCTTAGTTTTAGGTTGCTTCTCTCCTTGATTAGTTTCTACCCATTGCTTCTTGTCCTGCCTTCAGGTGCTTTGGAGAATAGCTTGACTCCCTCTTCTCTGTCCCCTCAAATATTGGAAGATTGCTATCATGTGTCCCCCCCCCCCCAGTCTTCTGAACCTTTACAGAATACAGAAGAACAGAGTTGAAAGGGACCTTGGAGGTCTTCTAGTCCAACCCCCTGCTTAAGCAGAAGACTCTATATATCATTCCAGACAAGTGGCTGTCCAGTCTCTTCTTAAAAAGCCTCCAGTGATGGAGCACTCACAACTTCTGGTGGCAAGCTGTTCCACTGGTTAATTGTCCTGACTGTCAGGAAATTCCTCCTTAATTCCAGGTT